TGCTTTCCTCTATAAATCTCTTCAACTTCAGTTCTGCTCAAAACTACCAAACATTCAATCATTTGAGGATATTTTCATAAAATAGCATTATGTAATCAAATTGGTATCTAAAGGGTTAAAATCAAACCGATTGAATGTTTGGTGGTTTTGAGCAGGAATGAAGTTTTTCAAGAGATTTATGCAGCAAAAAATATCAATCAGTTCTGAGCCATATGCAGTAACAGACAAAATGATGACCAGATGAAGAGGAAAACATTCCTCTTGAACTGAGAATTCCCCAGTACAATCTCTCTTATAGCCTCAAGTCAGTGTTACCTTAAATCCAGGCATGTCCCGTCAAAATGAAATCTGTGGGTTAATTTACCTTTTAAATGCACTAAATGAAGAACTACTGAAAATAATTTAGTAGCGTTTCTGTTAATTGAATGACGTACTGCTGGATCTGGAGTCTGAAGCTAAAACTCAGCCCTGTACGATAATGAATTACCTGTTCAACATTAAGGACTTGTGGGGATGTTGCATTTCTATATGCAATGGAATAATGAGCAAAATAACAAAAGATGGCAATGTGTTACTGTTTACTTACTTAAATATTATCTAAACTATTTAACATGTTCAGTAGATTATGAGAATTAAAATATGGTAATTGTTAGTTCCAACCTGAAACATAAACACCTGCTTTTTGAAAGGTTAAATGTATCATAACCTCATTCCTCAGCATCTGTTTTGTTTTTTTCCTCATCTTCTCCTTTTAGGCCTTAGCAAATACGTTAACAAACAAACATGACAGAGCCTCGCAACCCAGGAATGTCCATTCCTCAGACAGCCCCAACGCACGTCGAGTCCACCTCTACTCCTGTAGAGATGGACCCGGTGGAGTACACACTTAGGAAGCGCCTTCCCAGGAAACTTCCCAAGAGACGGAACGACGTCTATGTCAACATGAAGACTGACTTCCGGGCCCAGCTTGCACGCTGCCAGAAGCTGCTGGAAAGTGGGGGTCACAGAGAGATCTGTGTGCACGGCCTGGGCCTGGCCATCAACAGGGCCATCAACATCGCTCTTCAGCTGCAGGCCAGCAGCCAGGGGATGCTGCAGCTGGCAGCTAACACCTCCACAGTGGAGCTTGTGGACGACCTGGAGCCTGAAGATCCGGATGAGGCAGGGGAGCCAATGACTCGTACGCGCAACAACTCGGCCATTCACATTAAGGTTTTTTATCCTGACCCTCAGTGACCTTTAAAAGGGGCCTCTAGGTTCCCTGGAATACTAGTAGACAAAATTACATTGTGGTCTGGTGGGACTATATGTGTGGAGTTCTCTAAAGACTGCAGCTCATTAGATACACACTTTTCACTTTGCATGTCTTGAAGCAGCAGTAGTGTTGACCAGTTTGAAACATAGTTGTTTATTTATATATTTTTTGACATTACTGTGCCAAATGTAAATCTGTGCAAGTGTCTTTAATTTTAAGGCTTAAGAGTCTGTGAATATGTTTACAGCTTGATGTCTGGGTGTTTAAAAGATGCTTAAACTTGGGCAAACTAAGAAATACAATGTTTACAGTTCAAGCTGCTGTTTTCCTTAATGTCCACAAGATGGCAGTGTTTTACCTATTTTTAAAATAAGTTTCATTGCGATTAACTGCTGCTTTGACCTTTCTTCAAATGTATTTGATTACATGTCAGAATACAATTTTGAATCTGAGATAAACTTAAAGTTATTACTTTAGATGACAACACAATTCAACAAGCACAAATATGGTGTTAATCAGGACGACCAGTCAGGTCTGTGACAGCAGCTTGTGTTCAACATCTGAACTGTAGAAGTTTAACTAAACTGATGTGACTGAGACAGAGACCATGAATAAAAAGGACAAACTTCCCCTTGTTTTGTTTCCATTGCTCCTTTCTTTAGCCAAGAATAATATTTTGTATTTAAATAGCAAATTATACAGTGATGGGACAAAATCAACAGGAAAGAAAACATGTACAAACATCCTTAAAAAACATCTTCCACTTAAACAACAAGATTTAAAAAGAAAGGAAAAAACAAGGAAGAACACTTAACTGGTCTGCAAAAGTTTTCCAATTATTTTATTAAAAGCATCCAGTTCCCCAGATTGGCTGATTGCCTGCCTGCTGTTTGAGGACAAACAATGAAGGGAGGGAAGACGGTGTTAGCGTCAGATTCACTGAAAACCATTTTAGATCCCAGCCTCACAGGATGTGAAATTTAAAAGCCAAACAGCATATTTCCAGACAGTCTGGCAATCTGTGAGTGGAAACTGGTTGAGTTTTGGTAAGGCAGCAACAAAAACACAGTTAACGACAAAACAGCTTCACAGTTCTCATGTTAGCCTCTTCCTGGCTGACCTCACGGTTCCCTGTCCATTAAACTCAACCTCTGGAACAACCTTTGAATCTTTTCTTCTGTCATTTGGAAGCAACTTGAAACTTCCAGCAAGACCAGAAGCATGCCTTTGCAAATGTGTTCAGACAACGTGTTTTTTTGACAGCTAATATGTTAACGATCAGACACAATAAAAATACAAATACTGGAGCTTTAAAGTAGAAAATCAGTATAAATAATGGACATTTAAAAATATATTACAATATTTACTGACAATATCCAAGAAATTTGATTCATCAGCCTGGCATCCAGCACCACTGTCAGGAATCTGGGAGTACTATTTAATCAAGATATGTTCTTCAACTCCCACTTTCCGACAATTAACAAGGACCACCTTTCCGACTTTGTAAAAAATATAAAATCAGGCAAAACGTTGCAGAAATACTAGTTCATGCAAACAGGTTGGACTATTTTAATTCTCTTTGATCAGGATGCCCTAGCAAGTCTCTAAAGACCCTTCAGCAGTCCAAAATGCTGCTAATCATGCACTGACTAGAACTAGGAAAAAGGACCACATTACTCCTGTGTTGGCTTCTCTGCACTGGCTCCCTATACAATCTGGAATAGAATTTAAAATCCTCCTTCTCACAAAGCTCTTGATGGTCAGGCACCATCTTATCTTAAAAAGCTAATTGTGCCATGTTACCCTTAATGAACATTGCGTTTCCAGAATGCGGGCCTGCTCGTGTATACCTACAGTCTCTACATGTAGTATGGGAGGTAGAGCCTTCAGTTATCAGACCCCTCTCCTTTTGAATCATCGAACAGTCAGGGTCCAGTGAGGCAGAGACCCTCTGTACTTTTAAGAATAGAATTAAAACTTTACTTTCTGACAAAGCTTATAGCTAACTCAGGTGTGGACCAGCTGCTATAGGCTTAGACTGACAGTGAGCTCCTGTCTCTCTCTCTCTGTGCATTCACATCATATTACTGCATGTCACTATCTGTAATTCTTCATGATATGTAACCATATCTCTTTCTCTGAGCTCCCTTGTCTCATGGGTTCCTCTGGATCGTTGGTGTGGATGGCCTTGCAGCTGAGGAACCCCCAACCCTAACTGCTACAACTATTCATATCAGCCCCTTACATATCATCACATAATCATTATTATAAATATCAAAGTGAATCCTACAGCTGCTCAACTTCGACCTCTCTAATTCACACACTCAAACCTCCCCGTTTCTATTATACTGATCAGTCTTTTATCATACTAAGCTGTTACTGCTCATACCACACGTTTTTACAGATACTGACAATTGTAGCTATAACTCTTATTCCTCGTTGTTGTTGATCTGTTTCTCTCTATCCGTCTCTTTCTTTCTGCATCTCACTCTATCCCACTTTCCAAGCCCAACAGAGTTTCTGCTGATCAACATGAGTCTGGTTCTGCTCGAGGTTTCTGCCTCTTTAAAGGACGTTTTTTACTTGCCACTGTAACTTTTCTAAATGTTGCTTAGCCCTGTGCTCATGCAGGAGTAATGTTGGGTCTTTGTTAAGAATATCACAAAGAGTAAAGTCCTTTACCTGCTCTTCTGCAAAGTGTCTGGAGATAACATTTGTTATGATTTGGTGCTGTACAAATAAAGATTGAGTAATTCAGTCATTCATATTTCAGTTAGGTATAGTTACATGTTACAGGCTTTAGGGGTCAGGCCTCATTCCTGGTATTGGAAACGGATGTTGCAACTTCACAATCCTCCACTTTCCAGGTGGAATCAATATTTTCTGGGTGTTTCACTCAATATTACATGAGAGGGAGTGATGATGTACTTAATATCAGCACGTCTGTGATTCGGTCCAACACACGAGGATGTTGGTAATAACAGCGGCACGACCTCGAGGGTGATATTGCTTTTTATGCATCTGTAAGCAGCGTATAGTATGAAAGGTAATATGTTTCAACTAGTTCTAGTTTACGGTATCATTCAATTGCCTACATAAATAGAACTACATCCAATGCTTGACTAAAACTACACTGTTGCCAAAGTAAAACATAAACATTTTCCAGCACTTCCAGCTACTGTCTGTCTACACTTCACCACAGAACTGCAGAGTTTATGCATTTATCTGTTGCCAGTGTGATTCAGAGGTATCAGTGTAGTCAATCTAGACAAAGACTGTGTGCTGTAAAGTCATCTGTCTTCAGAACATTTGGGCTAAGGCAGAATGGTACACATAGTGAAAAGTCCCAGTGGTGATGTACTCTATCCAAGCACTTGAGGAATGTTTCTTGTACAATTGGATTATGTGGACAAGACAACTGACTGTTGTAAAATCCACAATTCACTCTGAAGAGGTGACGGGTCAAAATCCCACATTCATACTATGTACATATTTAGACTTGCAGTCCTAACTCACACACAAATGTACATTCACACAAAGTGCAAGAACGTGCCAGTGGAACAGCTATTGGAGTTGTGTTTTCCTATAGGCCTCATTTTGATCAGTGTGTGCTTCATCATGTTCATGTTTTACATCTACATTCCAAAGTGCAATCGTCTCCTGTCCACCCACAGCCTAGCTGGGGCTGTCCTCTTGCTTTCAGCTTCCTCCCCCAGTGTTTGGATGGCTGTATCTTTTTTTTTCTCTTTCCACACAGCTTCCAGCAGCCAGCGTGCAGATCAGCAGTGTCTAGTCCCTCCTCTTGCCTTGGGAAACAAATGAGCTTCACCTGGAGAGGAGAAGTCAGCTTACATCTTGCTGACAAGCCTGCGCATCCAAAAGCAGCAGGCGCACTTTGCCTCGAAGGAAGTTGACGTGGACTTGGAGCAAATCTGTGGACGAGGACACCGTCCATGTTCCCTCAAGCCCTGCTGCACTTGCTGGTGGGGTAAATTCCTGGAAGGAAATGCAAATAAACACATGGTTGTTGTCTAAATCTGGAGTTCTGTATCTGTTTCAGGGTTTCCTATGCTTTTCCAGGGAAATCTAAAAAAAAACTTGAACTATAGCTTGCAAGCTTTTCTACAGAAATGTATTTATTTAACTGACAGGATTCATGCTCACTCGGCTTGTGAAGTAAATACCACAACCCCTTATTGTGAACCACTCTTATCTTGAAAATACTCTTATATTGGTTATTTCTTAGTAAGGGCAGGATCACTTTATAACCTTTCCATCCCAGGCCTCATAACCCCTTTGTAACTTTGTATTCAATGTGTGTCTTTGTTTTTTTTATGTGTAAGGATACTGTTCACTTTCCCAGTATTCCCTTTTTTGCTGGAACACAAACTGTTCATTTAGCTTACGTTTGTGTAACACAGGCCCCCGTTTTGAACCTTTTTAGGCTGTTCTGCAACAACTTCAGCAATCTTAGAATACGTGTGATTAGCAGGATGCAGAGCCTACAGCGATGTCATGTAAGGCTTAATAATGTCCAATCAAATCTCTTCTTCTTTAACCCAAGGAGGTTTTATACCTTAAAAAACTAAAGTAAAACCACTTTATATTAAATAGAAGGCATACATGGGCTATAATGAAGTCACTTTCTGATGAATAGAATTCAATTTGAAATGACTTATTTATTAGTATCTTTAACTACATGGGTTTGTAGACTGAGTTTAACAGTCTGTTGTAAGTACAACCTGGAAAATTCTAAAACAAACATGGACCTGTGTCGGGCACTTTCTAAGAACATGGTTAACTTTAGCACTGCTTTTATTCTGAAGCTCAAGATACTCAAACTACATGGCGCCGCACTTTCTGCTCAGTTCATTTGTACCTCTGCACCTGCTGTAGCTTACCTGGATGTTGAGGCTGCGCAGCACAGCGCTGATGCTGAGCAGGTTTCGGATGGAGTTATCAATGTGGCTGAGCAGGGCCGTGTTGGTGACTGATGTCTGCAGCAAGCTCAGGGCCGGTTTTAATAACCATAAGCCGGTCTGCACTTCCTGGGCTTGCTCCAGCGCCTTATTGAAGAAGGAGAGAGAAAGGAAGCATATGCTCAGCTTCCATTAAGAATGAACTAAAACACTAAGAGGAAGCACATTAAATGATAAATAACAGCCAAACTAAATCTGATGTCCGCTCTTTTAACGCTCAGCTGTTTGAAGTGGTTACTTACATTTTTCTTCTCCCATACATCTAATTCCACTCTGGTTTGGGGAACAGTGACTGACTCAGACAGGCTGCATCCTTCTCTACATGACTTCTAAGAAAACAAAGAAAACACAGAATGTCAGTGTTGAGGGTACTTTTATGTAATGAAGCATCAACTTTCAGGATTTGGGGGAGAGGGGATTCCAGGACCACAATATGTCCATGCATACAGTTTCCTCTCACCATAGCCACTTCTGCGTCTCGTGCCTCCTTGATGAAATGGTTCAGGACCCTCAGGTCACAGATTGGCCTCAAAGGGGATGGGAGGCCTGGTCTGGTCCACTCCAACAATATCAACAGCAAAGCGAGCAGTCCTGTAGTCACAGATATTAAAAATACAGTCAATCAGAGGCAGTTGAACAGCAAAACTAAAAGGATCTATAAGAGTATGTCCTGTATGTATTTGTGTGACTTTTACTGTATCTACCACAATATGCTTTCTAAAGGTTGTGAAGTGAAACTGCTCATAGAATGCC